GTGTGGCATCTTTGAACTTGTCTTCCTCTTTTCACGTATGTATGACTGAGTGCTTGTGCATCCATGTGTCATTGACTGTGTGTGTGAGATTCTGGCCTGGCCTCTCTTTTTAAACTACCCCCTTCCCCCACTGCCTACCATGTACTCAGGCTGCCAGTAATATTTACTTCTTTGCAAAGTCTGGAGTCACCCAAGTCAGGTTGTCTGCCTAGGCCCCTGGACAGGGTTGACATTGGTCATGGGACACTCTAGAAAGGACCCAGCACATTCCATACATGTCCATAGTCTTAAAGAGGTTACAGTAGAACCCCGGACCTTGAAGCTAATCTGTTCTAGAAGGAGCGTCGAGATTCTATGCAATCCCATTCTGAATCAATTTTCCCATAAGAAATAACAGAAAATGGATTAATCCATTCTCAACCACCATGTTTTTACCCTAACCTTGCCTTTTTATACACGCATTACACAGAAATTTCAAAGTAAATAAGTTCAAACTTAATATAATTTAAGTAAGAAACACATTAAAAACGTTTTTAACAACTACAGTATGGGCCATACCTTGAGAATGACGAGGATCTGGGTCTGTGGACACAGATGTGGAGAGGAGGTATGGAGAAAGAGTCATTGTTTGGAAGGGGAATCCCCTTCCATAAAATCAACCGGTAGCTGTTTTTCAGGAGTTTTTCCCCTTCTTTGCCTTTTTTCACTAGGACCTGGCTGGCTTTCTCTAAAAAAAAAAAAAAAAACTGTCTAATGTGGTGTACTGTTGGCAGCTTCTTAACTGTTTTCTAAAAGGGTTTACACTAAATTATCAACAAAATCGATAACATGGTTAACTGGTTCCTTAACACGATGATTCTTTTCAAAAAACTTGGGACCTGTTTGTTTGTTTTTTTAATCTAAAAACAGTACAGAAAGCCACAAAAACTACGTATAGCAAAACGCTTGGAACACAGCCCCAAAAGGTTTAAATGCGTACTAGCAACGCCATTAACACCCAGTGACTGAAACACGAACTACTTTTTACAAAAATCACATGCATCGAGTTGGATTCCGATGTTTTATTTGAGCTCCGATGCAAATTTTTCTTGACATTTCGCGTTGAAATCTGATTATGTTGAGTATTGATGTGGTTGAGTACTGAGGTTCTACATTATGGTAAAGGACAGGGCCACATTGGGGCAGGGCAGCCATTGGCAGGCAGAACTTAGCTTTCCTTCTGGAAACAGCCGTTATAGAAACCTTCCTCAGAACTCCTTCTCCTATGCTCTTATGCATATCAGCTCTCCTGGGTCTGATCTTGGTGTCTCTGAGACGGGAATGGACAAGAAACCTTACAGGATAAGCCGGAGCTGGCCAAGATGTGGTACTCTTGGTCTCCTAGCATCTTTTACCTGCCTGTATGGCGCCCTTTCTCCATCTCTCAGCTACAGCTCCAAGCTGTCCATCTTCCTTTTCTAACCCCACAAAGTACAGAATAAACATCCTTGCCATTCATTTTAGGACAGCTTGGCACACGTCCTGGGTCCCAGAGCACAGGTGGATCATCAGGCCTCAATGGCATGTAAAGTAGCAGAGGCACGGCCACCTCTCTCTTGGTGCAGGGAGCAGCTCGCTGTCAGGTACTATTCTCTCTTAATTGTGCTTTTTGCCTTCCCTGTATGGGCTGCAGTGAGCATGTACAAAGTGAGGAAGACATGGTCCCTGTTCTCAAGGACCCGAGATTAAGAGTCAGCGTGATATTGAGAGAAGTTATTCTTCTCCTATTGCTGTTAGTCCACTGAATTAGAGTCTCTTCGGAAGTACCTATCAACAGCTCCAAAGGGCTCTGGAAGCCCAGGCCTGTCCACTGTGATGTGTTACCTGCAAGGCCCAGAAAGGAACTCCAAAGACCCCAAGCATGCATCAATGTATTCCTAGTATCTACAGCTAAGTCTGGGAATTTTTGTCCTGCCATGAAGTTTTTGCTTTGCTCTGACTTTAATTCTGTTGGGCTGGGGGATGGAGGGGAGGGACAGGGGTTGTCCTGGGTGATGGGATATGATGAGTAAGATTCTCATCAGCTCAAAAATGACCTGCATGAGTTCGTCAGTTCTCACCAGGCTTCTTCCCAGCTCTTGACTGAGGAGAAGGTGGTCATGGCCGAACTAGGGCTTGCCCACTGGAGGCCATAGCGGAGGCCTCCATTCTACAGACACATAGCTACCGTTTGGACCAGGGACACATCCATGCAGCTTCTCCTCCTCGCTTCATCACACGGGACACATTTTGCTAATCAGTGGAATTTTACCGAGGCAGTGAGTCAGTCACTGCCTGCTCCTGATATGATGGGACCTTGAGTGATTCTGGGTTTCCTTAGGAGCGAGACAGATATCCCACAGTTCTCTAGACTACGTCATAAGGAAGTCATGTTTTTGTTCTTTTCTAACTCTTGACTTCTCTGTGGTAGGTCAGAGGAGGATGCAAAGAAGGCACTTTTGAAGTATACTAGGTGACCAGTGCACACAAATCCATTCATGTGCTCAAAGCAACCCCCATTGTCTTGTTTCACAATTCTCTTTTCCCATCCCTAAACCTCACTTGTCCCTGAACTCCAGAATGCCATACCAGTTCAGTGTCCATATCTCTAAACTTGTTTTTCTTTGAGCTCTATGTATCTAAACTGTAGATTCTAGAGGGTTATCTGAACTCTCATATACTTCTAGTATTCTAAGAACACCTGCTTCAGACAATCAATAATTGAGCTGCCCCTTCATACCATTTTAGGTTGTCAGCCAGTTCCCACCTCCTTAGCACCTAATAGAAATCAGCCATGGCAACTTCCAGAAGCCTTGTCTGCCTCTTGCTCTCAGGCATGATGCTCCACAGCCTCATTTTTCCTGGGGTTTTGTCCACACACGCTGATCCACAGAACCCACGCTAATGAACACTCTCTTTCCTCAGCGTGCTCGCTGTGCTTTCAGCAAGGACAGCCTCTCGACCAGGAGAGGCTCCCTTCCATGAACTCTTCTCCACCCCAAGCAGGATTTCAGGACTCCTCCCCTTTCTCTTCTGCATGATCAGTGCGCTCTTCTCAATTCAACAGTGAGGAGTACCCAAGCGTCAGATCGTTTAGAAAGGAGATGCAGCAGCCAGTCCAGGACTGAATTGCAGGTTGTAACTTGACAAACTACTATATGTCTAGAAAGTTCAGTGCTCAGCCACACTGCTCACACCACCCTAGTTGCAAGCTGACTGAATTCAATTTATTTACCTCCATTCCTCAAGAGTAAGTCTTGGGTTGGCTTTCTGGTGCTATGCTAGGCTGTGCGTGTGTGTGCCTGCGTGTTCTTTAATCTACATTTTCCCTCTGTTTACCACCCTTTTGGTGTGGGGGGATCTGAGGCAAATACCTTTCCCCCCTCCTACTCTGATCTTCATTCTAGGAATCATTGCTTCCATGTAACTGAGAGGCAGTGGAGATAGGAAACAGGCAACAGGGCCACAGTGTGCTATTGAGTGGATCCCCATGGAGATCTTAACAGTAGCAACATGGAACAGGGAAAGGAGACTATATTTTGGTTTGTACATCTGTTATACTGCTTTTGCAAAGCATAAAACACCTTTTAAAGGATGGAGTAATGCAGTACTCCTCTCAAAACCTACCCTCCAGATTTGTGGTACAAGGGACTGGGAGGAGTTATCTGGAATGCTGGCCCATCTAAAATGTGGGTTTCAGTGCTTTCCCCAGATAAACACCGCCCCGCAAAGAAAAACCACCCCAAATTCACTGCCATCGAGTCAATTTCAATTCATAGTGACCTTACAGGACAAGATAGAACTGCCCCTGTGGGTTTTTGAGACTGTAACTCTTT